CCCGGTATAGGGCAGCGATGGGCGTTGTACGGAAAACTGGGAGGACCCCTCTGGCTGCCATAGTAAGCACCTTCTCAACTGTCCCCACATGCCATCCCAGGCGGGAGCTAACCTCCCCACTCCTGCCCGTGTGCCTTGCTGGCTGCGTGCGGCCGCCGTACCAGGCCTCTGTGCCATAGAGCAGTGAGGGAACCACGCAGGTGGTGACCGCCTTCCGCAGAGCGTCTGCTGGGGGCCCGTCTCTGGTCTTTCCCAGACTCCGGATGTGCTGGGCCACGGCCCTTGCCTTCTTTGCCCGGGTGGAGACATGTGGTCTCCAGGTGAGCCTTCTGTCGAAGTGTACACCCAGCCAGCGAAGTGCTGGCTCCTGTCCAGCTGGGGCAGTAACAGGGTGAACAGTGAGGTCCTCAGACACAACTACTGCTGGTGCCTCATTGTGTCGCTTTCTTGTAAGATGGATCATCTCAAGTTTCTCTGGTGCGAAGGCCACCTTGTTTATCTTCCCCCACCTCAGAATACTCTGTATATCCTGTCTGAGAAGGGTGGCATTGTTGTCAAGTGAGTGGGTCGCCCGCCAGATGTTCAGATCATCCGCATAGCCAAAGCGCAACTCCGAGTTTTGCCACAGCAGCTCTGCCAGGTACAGAAGGAACAGTATTGGTGACAAAGGAGACCCCTGTGGCGTGCCACATTGCATCTGATGTGCTGCTGTGGTGGTCCCCTCCAGCCGGACCTGAGCTCTGCGTTCAGTGAGGAAACTGTCAATGAGCTGCAGCAGCTCGCGTGGCCACCCCTGCTGCGCCATCCGCTGAAGCAGCCGCCTGCGCAGCACAGCATCAAAGGCACCCTGCACATCCATTGTGACCATGGACACTTCCTTGTTTTGTGCGAAGGCTGCCTCCACCTCATGAGTGAAAGCAGCTACCAGGTCCATTGCAGATCGTCTGGGCAGCGCCCCTCCATGCTGTGGGCTGACTATGCCGTGAATGAGTGCCGTGTACGCCAGTCGCCTTGCAATGATGCGTTCCAGCCCTTTGGAGATTACTGAAAGCAGGGCAATGGGCCTCCAGGAGCGGACTGAGCTTCTATCCCTCTTACCCACCTTGGGTATCATTGCCACCTCTGCCAGTTTCCAGGCTCGTGGGAAGTGGCAGAGCCGGAGGCAGCAGTTGTATAGCTGCTGTATAAAGAGGGACACATGCTGCCAGCATGCTTTGAGCATCCGCACTGTGATTCCATCCGTGCCTGGGGAGGTGCTCTGTACCCGGATGCTGCAGATAGAGGTTATGATTATTATTTAATAAATCATCTCTTAAAGATTGAGCAATTAGAAACTGTGAAAGGTGATGACAATGTGAAGAGTGAATAGTAGAAGATAGTATATAGTATAATGAAAGATAATAGCAATAATAATTATAGTAGTAGTGTAATTGTAGCTAATCACTAAGAAGGAAAAGAAAGAGAAAGAAGATGTGCAAAATACATACATCTGTATATATATACATATAGAAATAGCAGTAGTGAGAGTATAATGGAAAGAGATAAGAATAAGCAAACATAATATAATAAGGAAATAATAAATGAGTGCATTATATTATATTGAATAAAAGTTTTAAATTTAACTGTCTCAATTCAAACTTCAATCTTAACTCTATATGCTTTGTATAAAGTAAAAGAAGATGCTTTGAATTTTCATATAACTGATAATTTGAATATAAATCATTTAAATCATTTCTAATCTTTATTAAATATGATTTAAAATAATCATGTTCAAGCTTTAGCTGCATTATTGTAGTAAAAAGTTTCTTTTTACATTTTATTAAACAAGCTTTTCATTTTGACTTAGTTTCAAACCTGGAATAATGTACACTCTTTTTTTATAAAAACCAGATATCTTGCCATTTTTGCAAACATGATTCTCTTATTTTTTTTTAATAAAAGTCTATATTACAATTCTTTAAAAGCAGACTTTTAATTCAGTTGTTTTTTTTGCAGCTTTATCAACCATTTCATTGCCATATATACTCATGTGAGCAGGCACTCAGTGAAGATGAATAGAACAATTGAATGAGATTTTTCTTTGAATATTTTGAAGATTTTTCAAAATCAGCTCTAGCATTGACTGTTCACTGTTGATTTTATTACTTTGAAGTTTTTTAAGATCAGTTTGACTATGGCGTACGCCGTTCAATTGGTAGGATAATTCATGTCTGAGTTTCTCTAATCGAGAAGGGTGGGCGAACGCCCCTATATATATACGTAGTCATCCCGTCAGCGATCCAATCCAGAGGAAGGAGCGATCGCAGCATACGGGAAGAATAGGAGGAATAATAATGCATGGGCGGAAGGAGCAGGGCGGAAGGGAGACTAGGGGCGGAACGCCACATTGACTATCAGAAAATATTCAAATATGCTCAAATCTTTTCCATTATTCAATCTTCATCTCAATCAATTTGAAAGCTTCTGAAATTGCAAATAATTCAGCATTAAAAACTTCTGACTCTTTTCCAATTTGTCAATAATTAAGAATATAGTTTTTATCATTTTCTGAATATGCTATTCCAGCTCCAAGATTGCCTGTTTTTTCACATTTTGAATCATCAGTGTATATAAGAATTGCTTTGTTTCTCATTTATTTTCGAAGATTTAGATGTTGTTCAATCTGAACTTCTTTTAAAAGTTGACTAATATTTAAATAAATAAGACTGACAAAATCTTTTTTTTAAGAAGAGAGATTTTCAAAGACCACTTTCTCCATATTTAAATTAAAGAAACTGTTTTTAATCATAGAGCAAATTCTAAATAACTGAGATGATATCTTCTTCCTTTATACAGATGTTGAATTATCAGATGAATTTATTTCATTTCAATCAAAATAAGACTCTCAATTCAGATTTACTTTAGTTGATTCATTTGAAAAAAAATTTGAGACTCTTTTTTTAATTGAATAATTGAAATATAACTTCATAATTCTGAGAGTATAATTCATACAGATTTTATTAAATCTCACTTATGATAGTGGTAAAGAGGCTTCAATCTCTATGGCTTTAATTGAAAAGATTTTAAATACCTTCAATATTTTTCTTAAAGCTGAATTTTAAAGCTTTTGAAATCTCTCTTCAAAACTCTTTTGATTTTTCCATCATACTTGAATTGCAAAGTCTGAAACAGAGGTTATACAAGCAATATATATGTAATAGGCGTAACGAAAGTATCTATATTAGGAAATAGCTATGTGGCGATAGAAGGGCACAGAACACATCAGAATCAATCATGATGAATGTAATGTGATGACAACATTATCTATATAATGCTCACTGATATTTGTAGATCTTAGGAGATCAGCGATTAACTTTGAACAATAGAGATTGCTATCTTTTTAATATCCTTTGTGCGTACTTCACACTACTCTTGTAATTACTCTTATAGCCCATCTCTTACAGCAGATGGGTTAATCAAACTGCTTGAAATGTTGAAATATATAGTTATATTGAAAGGAGATTATTAAGATGAAAAGATAGAGGGGATAAAATGAGTGGAATTCTTTGCTGATTTTTTCATTATTGCACTTTTTCCAGCTGTTTATGTATTTATACTTGTTTGAAGGGCAAATTTTGTATGTAGCATTGTGTACAGTTACTCTGATGAGTGGGGGTGTGAGACCTGCAGGTCTTGGCTTATTAATCCTTCCATCATATAACTTCCCACTTAGCTAGCAATCTTCAATCAAGCAAGCTTTACACCTTCCACAGTATGGAGGTAGCATCAGTCTGAAACGATGGCCTGCAATGCAGCCGTGAAATTATTGTTTTTGGGATGAATTCAGCTGGGCTGGATGCCGGTAGCATCGCAACTCAGTCTTCATTCGACGTTCCTAGCTACGTCCAAATGGGGGATTTCAAAATCCCAGAACCAAGATATTGAGAATCTTGTATGTGCTGTACAGTACATCCAAGTGCCTGGGCGACCCACTGGGTTTTGCTTATATGCTTGGTTTTTCACCCCATATGATTGACGCATTCATGAACAGCAATCTTCCACGACTCTAATATTGAAGTTGTCTAAGTAAGGATATTGTCTTTGAATATACCTCTCAAATATATACGCCGTCACATTGATTGAGAAGGAGAAGAAACCGGCAAGGATTTGAAGGCGCCGTCATTCCAAGGAGCAGCATCACGTGGCCCGCACCACGACCCAACGTCGACCCTCCAGGGCTAGCATCCACAACTCCTCCTCCTCCTCATGCAAGTGTGTGGCCCACCGCTGGATCCCAAACATTCGCTTTGCTTACCTGTCTAAGCCCTGTTTTGCAATCCAGACCATCTGCTTCATGGAATAACCGTTTTCCATCTGCCTTCGCAAGACACTGCCGTGCGAATTAACTGGGTTCGAGAGGGTGGAGCGCGGAGTAACCTTAACTAATCGGTGTACTTAAGTTGTGTGTTATTTATGTGGGTGCACCCGAGCTTGATATTCTCCCAAAGAACATTGTCTCTTGAATCCCATTGCCAGGATAAAATAATTGTACCCCTTTGTTTACATTGCCTTGTCGATTCCCAAATCCGTTTCATTGTATTGTCGGATATCACTGATTTTCTGCTCCAAAGCCTAGCCAATTCCCGAGAGAGAGCTCGTGCATAAATACTAGTATCATTGATATTTCTTCCCTCCTCCTCCTCCACCCACCAGCCTTCTATATCTTAAATGGCCTGCCGACGGAGCTGCTAGTATCCCACGATCAACTGTTCAGGCGGTTCCTCACAGTCTGACATATATATCTGCGGGATCAACCCGTTATCAAGTCTGTCCCAGTTCCGACGGCTTCACTTTTCTTTTCCGAACCCATCTATCTCACCGCCTCAAATTCCAACCCCCCACCACCAGCACTTCGCTCCTCTATCTTGGAAACCTCACGCACATACACATACATGCAGGCATACATACATCCATTTATACATACATAAATCTATCTCATCCATAGCTCCAAGCCACAAATCATGCCGTGCTTCAAGGGCCTCGCGGTTAGCATTCACACGCCCAACGGGCCCCTGCCGGAGTACTCTGTCCAACGGCAATCCCGCGCCTCTCGAATCGCCTGCTATATCCCCGTGCCGCCAGCGAAAGTCCCAGATCCCGCAACAGGTAAATCCGAGCAATCCACATTCGCCATCTCCATCACCCTACTCACCCCTGGCCAGAGCGTGCCATACTCCACCCCAAAACCCACTCCTGAAAACCCGCACCCAAAAGCAAAAGTTGTGGGCAGTTTCCCCCGGGCCACAAACTCCATCGGGCCGTATCAGCCATTGACTACTTCTCCGAACGAAACTATTGCGGCGTATATATACTTTGACGGCCGGCAGAAGGAAGAGGTGGCTACGCTATTGCGGCGTGGGGAGGAGACATGGGTGAACTCGAGATGGGTTAGTATTCCGGAGTCGAAGGGTGGTGGGCTTGCGGAGCGGGAGTTTCTGTTTCAGGAGGTTGGGCTGGAGAGATGGCTGAATGGGTTAGATTTGGAAGGGAAGGAGAGGGATACCGCAGCGAAGATTGAGAGGAGGAGACAGAAGATGGAACGGAGGCGTAAGAAACGAGAGTTGGCCAGCCGACAACTCCGGGAGAAAGGGGATCAAGCTGGCTCTGGAGAAACGATGATGATGGATATGGATGAGAGAAAATCCAGATCTGGACAGAGTGTGTTGCGCTACGGGGATGATGCACAGTCCCCTCTTGAGAATTTGTCAGATGTTGAGTATTCCTCTGAGTCTGAGGATGACGATCCCATACCAGAAGCAGCGGGCCAGATTAAAGTAGCCCTGTTCAGGGTGTTGGCGTCCGGAGAAGTCAAGCGGGGTGAATATTCGCCTCAGTTCGATGCCCAGGATGACGATGACGAAAATCAAGCGCAAGGCTTGAACGGGAAAGGCGGTGATGATAGGGACGTCGATCATACTATCAGTTTTGCGAAGCCGAAGTCCTTAGATCCCAAAACCATCAGCACACAGACTGTTACAGGAATTGATGGACCAGACAGGCCGTATGCAATATTTACGTTTATGTATCGAGGAGAGCGTAAGTTTTTGGACTTCATTTATTTATCTATGTCCTTTTGCTCTAGGTATACTTTTAATGATTCTTAAGTATGGCTAACGTGAAATTCTCTTTCTAAAGGCCAATTGCAAAAGATGGGCATTCTCGATACCAAATCGCGGGATGGGACTAACAAAGCCTCATCTGCAAAGCGTATTTCATTGCAAACCGACCTTGCGAGCCTCGCAGCGCTCAAATCTAGTGATGTTACGGGTCTCGTGAAGTTTAGGGATCATAATAATATTGATCACGGGCCAGGGAAGTCGAGAAAGAAGCCTAGGAGAGGTAGTGAAAGTGGCATGGACGACAGCGATTATGATGATGACGATAATGGACCGTCGTCTATACTGCACAAAGCTGAGGAGGAAGGAGATAAGGACGTTAGTCCTTCACTACTTTCAGCGGATGATATTCGGCGACAGGGCGAGCTTGCGGAGGGAGTGAGGCAAATAAAGGTGAGCTTACTCATACTCGTATTTACTTGTTATGCCAATATTGTATTGGCCCGTTCCTTTAGGAATACCTGGGCTTTAGTTTATGATATATACAATATTATGCAAGATATCATGCTTACCACCCACATCTCTACTACCAGTTAAAACGACAACACTCTGCCGAACCCATTACGCAAGCTGGAAACGCGACCTCGAGAACTTCCAAATCAAACACGCCAGCATCAATATCCACTCCACCAGCCACCACCACCACTGCCACCACCGCTACCATTACCACAACAGCGACGATGACATCAACTAGCACGACTGCCGTAATAACCGCTACCACCCCTCCGCATCAGGGGATCGCCGGTGGTTCTTCATCTCGAGAACCACCACAAACCCAAATGAGCAGCCAAAGCTCCGTGCTGGAGAGCGAAGCGGAGTTCATGGGCAGTCCTATGAAGAAGCATCGGGCTAGCGTGTTGGGCGCTGACGACAATGTTTTTAACATTAAACGGCTGGATGGGTCGGGGTTAGCCACCAATATCCAAGAGATTATGGGGTCAGGTTCAATTTCAGACACTATTTCCGGCGGAAGCGGTGTCAGTAGTGATATTTATGCTAGTACAGGGACCAGTACGGCTACGGGTACTGGTGCTGATACCAGTGCTGGCCTGGGTTCTAGCATGACACCCAGAAGCAATCTGAATATCGAACAGAAGCCGCCACAAACCGGACACGGGGAGCTGGAGGAGGATCTATAGGGGAAGTTGGAGGTTGGGTAATTTTCTTTGGACTTGGTGGAGTGCTTTTTTGTTTTCTTTACTTTATGTGCGATTTCCGTTACTATGGATGCACATCTCTTTTCTTTTCTGATTTCCCCCTCCTCTCTTTCCGTCTTTTGTGGAATGCAGGATTGGTTTAGATGTTTCGGAAATTTGAATGAGTGAGCGGGGTGACCGATACGATATCGTTTTGGTTTGGAATTTGGCGGAGTGAAGACTTATCTAGGAAGCCAGACGGTGATAATATGATACTCAGAAATTTGTGCTGGGAACTTATTCTCTAGCCAGATATTTAATAACATGAGAGTCAAAAATAGGCCTCCCCCATCCCTATCTACTTGTATTTGCCAAATTGAACTGTATGGAACTGATACGTTAAGTTTCGACGTGGACGAGAACAGGAAAATCCTTCCATCCGGCCATTTTGCTGATTGATGATCGCCGCATGCAATCTGGCTGTTAGTTATATGCGCTTCCGTTCCGACACTGAGCCCCCCTTTGCGAGGAAGTATTTCCCGAAATTGGGCTTTAAATCGACATCTCCGTCACGATCTGGGCCGCAATTGAACTCGCAGAACTCACATGAACATAGCGGGATCATCAAAGGACACATAATCAAACAGACTGTAGAACGTAACAGTTCGACCATGATCACAAGGCGTATCCACTATCCATATCATAGGCAATGAAGAAACAAGCAAGGTATAAGAAGAGAATAAATCTATATGTTGGTACCTAGGAAAGGTGGACCTTTGGGATGGTCGGGTACTCTTATATGTGACATGGGCATGTGAATTGTTCATGTTAAAACGAATAAATAAATGTTATTTGACTCCTAGTTGTCGCGTATTTAGAAAGTAGTTAAATATGGAACCGTTACATAGCTTGACTCCAGAGTTTTTCAGATTTCAACCGAAAACCAACCTACCAACTCAATTTCCTTCTCGTAAATAATGAGATATCGAAATCTTTTTAGTCTCACGAAAAAATACAGCTAATGCGCACAACATGTCCCTCACCCGCTCCACCGCACCCCTTGTCTGGATTGACTGCGAGGTTCGACCCCCAGACAGCTGCTCCATCTCCGAATCGATGGCATAGCTGTACATTTCTACCCAGCTTCCAAAACAACAAAAACGATATGATCTTCTAATAGCTAACCACTATTCCCCCCCCCCCCCCCCCGGGGATGAAAAGATGACAGGTCTCAACCCTCGCACAGACAAAATCCTCCAGATATGCTGCTTCATCACCGACGCGGATCTCAACCTTCTCGAACCCACCGGTTTCGAAGCCGTAATCCACCACCCCGAGTCCGTCCTCGATAACATGAATGACTGGTGCATCAAGACGCATGGTCAATCGGGGCTAACGGCCGCCGTGTCCGCGTCGACCACTACCCCAACGGCCGCCGCAGAGGGTCTCCTTGCCTATATCAAGAAGCACGTCCCGCGGGAAAGGACAGGGCTGCTTGCGGGAAATAGTGTCCATGCGGACAAGGAGTTTTTGGCCTGCAAGCCATATTCAATGATCCTGGAGTGGCTACATTATCGGCTGCTCGATGTAAGTTGTTTTAAAGAGGCGGTCATGCGGTGGGGGGATGAGATGATGCTAAGAGACGCTCCCAAGAAGGTGTGTGTACATCTGGCTAGGGAGGACATTCTGGAAAGTATAGAGGAGATGAGGTATTATCGACGGGTATTGTTTGGGAAGAAGTGATGAGTCCCCATATTTATTTATAACTTATATGCACTCTGCGAGGGTTGGGAGGGAGTAGTAGGTGGTGACGGATGAGATTCCGAAATCGACACGAGGATTTCTCATGGATTTATTATTTGCGGATTTATGCTACGAAGCTCTATCGACTCAATATAGTAGTTGTAATTTGTCCCTACAATTGCAGCAATCGTCTCTTTTTGCTTTTAGGCGGACGAGACACGGGGAGAGGGTTTGGCAATAGCTGGCGGCCAATAGATAATATGGCTATTATATCAGTATGGCTATGCTGTCGACTGGGGATTAGAGCAGCTTTTCGTGTCCCAAATACAATTGAATTCATATAATAATTTCAATAATTTCAAGGCATTTCATTGTAACAGCTTTGTTGGTGATGGTGGGGCATTGTTGTTTCATGATGACGCAACTTGCTGCCCCCCGCCAAAAAAAATTGTAACAAAACAATCCATTCTCAAACATCAACAAGCTCTCAACTGCCCAAAGCCCTGTTCATCCAATAGCGAAAGGTGCAGCAGACACCGTGGGTCAGGCCGTTTACCCTTTGCGTTAGAGATATATCACCCATTAGTTATTCCATCTTTTACACATCTCATTGCTGAAACAGTGATCGCGTTTGTCTCCAAAACATACACCCCTTCCAGCTCCCCGAACAGCGAAATCACCCAATATGAGCGTCAAAACCGTGTCAATTACTCCATTCCAGGACCAGAAGGCCGGAACGTCAGTACATCCTCTCAAAAGGCAAGTAGTCATTCTCGGCCGCTAATATATTCCAATATCTAGGTCTGGGCTTCGCAAGAGAGTCACTGTCTTCCAGCAGCTACATTATTCTGAATCCTTTATCACAAGCATTCTTCTATCCATTCCGGAAGGTGCTGAAGGCTCTTTTTTGGTAATTGGCGGCGATGGGAGGTACTACAACCCGGAAGTCGTGCAATTGATTGCCAAAATCGGAGCTGCATATGGCGTCAAAAAGTTGCTGGTAGGCCACAATGGAATCCTGAGCACACCAGCTGCTAGCCATGTTATTAGAAAGAGAAAGGCCACAGGGGGTATTCTGCTTACTGCAAGCCATAACCCAGGCGGTACGTGTTTAAATGTCGCTAATCCTCCATGATGTCCACCTAGCTGGGGTCACCAAACTGTATAAAGAGACCTCATATGTCTAATATGCGTGTTCAATAGGACCAAATGCGGATTTCGGTATCAAATATAATCTTTCCAACGGTGCTCCGGCTCCCGAGTCAGTGACAAACAAGATATATGAAACCTCGAAGAGTCTCACATCATACAAGATCGCTGAAATACCCGACATCGATCTCACGCAGATCGGGACCAAGACATACGGATCTCTGGAGGTGGAAATCATCCATTCCACAACAGACTACGTGGATATGCTTAAAGACATCTTCGATTTTGATCTTATTAAATCTCTGTTTAAAACGCATCCAGATTTCAAAGTGCTCTTCGATGCATTGCATGGTGTTACTGGGCCGTATGGAAAGGCGATTTTCTTAGATGAATTGGGACTGCCAGCTTCGAGTGTGCAAAATTGCGTTCCCTCTCCAGACTTTGGTGGCGGACATCCAGACCCAAATCTGACATATGCACATTCCCTGGTGGAAACCGTCGACAAAAATGACATTCAATTCGGCGCGGCGAGTGATGGAGACGGAGACCGCAACATGATATACGGGGCCAAAACTTTCGTCTCGCCAGGAGACAGCTTGGCTATCATCGCCCACCATGCAAATTTGATTCCCTATTTCAGGAAACAGGGTGTGTATGGTCTAGCCCGCTCAATGCCAACTTCAGGCGCCGTCGATCTCGTCGCCAAAGCGCAAAACCTGCAATGTTACGAAGTTCCCACCGGCTGGAAGTTCTTCTGCGCCCTCTTCGACACGAAGAAAATGTCAATCTGTGGCGAGGAGAGCTTTGGGACAGGTAGCAACCATATCCGCGAAAAGGACGGACTCTGGGCCATTGTCGCCTGGCTCAACATCATCGCTGGCGTCGCCAAAACCCACCCAGAAAAGCCCGTGAGCATCGCCACGATCCAGTACGACTTCTGGAAAGAATACGGCCGCACCTTCTTCACGCGCTACGACTATGAAAATGTCGATTCCGATGGGGCTAGCAGGGTCATCGCCAATCTCAAAGAGCTTATCACGACCAAGAAGGATACTTTCGTTGGCTCCAGCGTTTCGGGCCGCAAGGTCGTCGAGGCCGATGACTTTTCCTACACCGATCTAGACGGCACTGTGAGCAAGAACCAGGGCATTTACGTCAAGTTTGACGACGGGAGTCGTATCGTGGTACGGCTTTCGGGGACGGGTAGCAGTGGGGCGACGATTAGGTTGTACATCGAACGCCACGAGCGGGATGAGAAGGAGTTTGGGAAGAACGCGCAGGAGTATTTGAAGGGAAATATTGAGCTGGCGGTGCAGTTGTTGAAGCTGAAGGAATTTATTGGACGAGAGGAGCCGGATGTTAAGACCTAAGCAAGGAAAAAACTTGGGGGGTAGTGGACGGCCAGGGGTGAGAGATTGAGTCATGCAAGTGTGAGCTTGCCTCAGAATCAAGAATTTGCTCTTGCAATGCTTGGCCTGATCCTGGCGGGAGCTGTGATTAATATATAACCTATCATTGTTCGTACTACAAAATGACAAAATGAGCTTTTGCAAAAGTTTCCACGAAAGTGTATATGTACTTATTGAGTTCTTCGTTTTTCCTTCGATTTTACAAGGTGACAAAAATGAATAAGTGAATAAATTTAGTTGTATCTAGTCAGCAGCCCTCTGCTTTCACACTTCCTTCCTATTGTTTTTGTTTTGTTTTGTTTTGTTTACATCGCACTTGTCTTCTGCTTAAAGGGGCGAAAGAGAGGGCGCTTTGCAGCCCTATCTTGATATTCATATTTTTTCCACATCAATTAGCAACGGAAAAAGCCCGACGTGTACAAGTAAACCCGAAGATATGAAGAAAGGACAAGGGAAGAAAGATATTATTTGCTATTTTGCACCGGCCTATGAGCGAAAAACTCTGGGAAAAAATGTAGAATTAACCCTAAGCTCTCACATCACAGGTGAGGATGATACGTAATAATGGATCCATAGAACAGAACAAAGAGGGCCCTATAAAGAACCAAAGCTTCCTCCTTGCCCCAGCTTATTTCCCCCCTTTCATCTACATGCCTATCTCCCTCTGTTTTGCATCCCACCACTCCCTCCACCCCACAACCTTCCCATTCCTCCTCGCCTCCTCCGCCGCAAACACAGTCGCATGGCTCCTCAACGCCTCATCAAACGTACACCCAATAATCTCCCTCTGCGCCTTCCCGACCTCCCACCCCAAACTGTCCACCGCTTCCACAGCCTTCACAAACGCCCTCGTAAGCCCATAATCCCCGCCACCATGCGCCTCCGTCTCCTCAGGAGGCACCTCAGGGACTGTAACGACGGTGGTCTCCCCGCTGCCGAAATCGTAGCTGGTTATGGTTTTGCCGTCATAGCTCAACTCGCCGAGGGTGCCGTAGACGCGTCCACGCCGCTCGCATTGCGATTCTGTCGTCGAAATCATGTGGAGGGTAGCGGTCTTGGCACCACGACCGTGCAGGCGTGCATTCATATCCATGCCGCCAGTACTGCTGGCGGTGGTCTCGGGCAGCGGATCATCGACCCAGGAAAGGGTGACAACTTGGTCCTCAAGGACATTGTTGTCGGCTTCATATACACAGCGGCCGAACCAAGGGCGTGCGGCGACGGTAGTGTCCGGCGTCGTGGCCTTGTCGTAGTCTTCTGCGAGGGTTTTCAGGAGCAACGACTCCGCTGCGGCCATGCCATATGTCTTGAACGTATCTTCGATATCTGGGCAGACAATTTTAATGGGCCAGCCAGTACGTCCCTTGGAGAGGAAGCGGTCTTTGTAGATCTTGAGGGCGCTGTAGATGCAGTCTTTCTCTGCGGGACAGGAGAGGCAATTTGTTGCGTTGCCGGCGGCGACGGGTTTGCGCGATTGGCGGAATTGGGTGAGAGAGCCCAAGGAAGTGATTGATTGTGGGGAGTGGTATGGGTAATCATAAGTCGCTCCCGGGGGTGGGTAGCAAAGGAGCCAGAGGATAAAGTCGATGTCGTGGGAACATTTTTGTGAGTAAGCTCCCCGTCGCCATTGGCGGCTTCGCGGCCGCCCAGCTACCCCCGTACGAAGCTGTGGGAGAAATGATACCAACCAACCGGCTCTGTGTGTTCCAAAGACAAGACGTCGCCCACAACCCTATCTTCCAGCAGTAACTTGCGCAGAATCGTGTTGTGTGGGCTATATCGTAAGACATGGCCTATGGAGAAGATTCTAGACTCGAGACATTTGTTCTCCTTAAGTGCGCGGGAGATGGCTAGACAGTCCTGCAGAGATGTAGCCAGGGGCTTTTCGCAGAGCATGTGCAGGTTCAGAGGCGCAATAGCGAGCAGGATCTCCACATGCATTTCGTCCAGGGTGCAGATGAACACCCCATCCACACCCGTGGCCTGCTCCCCGTCCCCGCTACACACGGTCTCCCGCCGTGATTTCTCCCACTGCAGCCATTCTTTCCAGTCCGCAAACTCCTGACCTTCCACTGGTGAACCGCTACCCCAGATATAGCGCTTCCCAAACTCCCTGCGCTTAAAGGCAACCACATCGGCTACCGCATGGATGACACCGTTGGTTGCGTTGGTGACAGCTTGAGCGTAGGCGTGTCCTCGAGACCCGGCTCCAATTACTAGGAATTTGGGCGACCTTGCCGTGGGGTTTTTGGATGTAGCCATGGCAGGTGGTTGATGGGCGAAGAATTATAGGCAAGAGTGAAATGGCGCGCGAGGTTGGAAGGCTAGATATCTAACTACTAATATAAGACCTTTTGAGCGGAGGTTACCCCTGTGAGGAGTGATTAACGAGCAGTGAGTGAAGAAGGAGTTAGCGAATGACCCTCAAGGCAGCAACCAGTATTTTTCTTTTATTTTCAAACGAAATGGGGGACCTGTGGCCATGGCCCTCTCACAAACATGCAATCCCTCAGTTTGCGGGGTAAGTGATGTAAGTGATTGAGGGAGCGATCAGCGCCGCCTGAAGTTGAACTAATGCCAGCGCAAGCAACACTATTGCCGCCATTCTTATTTGCCCACTGTAGCAGCGAGTTAAGCGGAGATCGTATCGACGGATGTCACCCTGTTAGAAATGTGGAGGTTCAGTTCAGCCTTGGAATTTCTTTCTGGATGCGATGCAGGTCAAGATGCTGAGGTAAGCCAGGCAGCTAACTAATCGCCGTGGTGTGATTGGAAGACATATCCAGCCAATGATAGTTGTCCTCTGCCAAGGTACGGAGTATAAATAGCACAAACGTATTGATCGGCCCGACCTAAGCGCTCATACAGATTGACGCCAACAAACACCATCAGCGGCATTTGGCAGTGGACAGCGCGTAAAGGAGATCGATAATGCAGAGAGCTATCACTACGATCTGCTTTGCATTTTGCTATGGTTTCCCCGGAGCTAAAAGGAGCTGCAAAGTTAAAAATATGGGCGGATGATCGACCGATCAACCCACGTTTTTTCCAAGCTTGCTCTGCCGAGTTTGGAGAATGGGGAAAAACATAACAGGACCCTCCTTTTGGCGTTATGAATCCAGCACTATGCGCAGATATGGATGCGGAATGTGGAAGTATAGATGAGAGTAATGAAACAGAACAGTAGAACAAAGTTGAGAGTCTATGTAGGGTATAATGGTATGGATCTAATGAATTGAAGATTTGCAAAACTTCTAGAAGAATATGTGCGCGATGTAAGTTAAATAGAGAGACAGTAATAGTAACATCGTCAGTAATGCAATAATAGTACAAGAAGAGGAAGAAGAGGTAGCATTACCATACAAAATGAAATAATGATATATATATCACACATCACACAATTCGCTTGTGATGATGTTGAAAGTGTATGAGGAATGTATAAAAAGAGTATTTTCCATACGGGAGGAAAAGAAAATAACAGGAAATATTCCAAAAACAAGAGTAGAATAAAGTAAATAAATAAAATAAAATAACACAAGCCACTTCAAACCCACGCCAAAAAGGAGTCCTAAATATGTACCTAGAAAAGAAGAAAAAAGGGAAGCAAAAAAGAGAACAAACACTCTGATCTCAAATCTAACGATATCCCCCTTCATATCGACTTAAAACGAAAACACCCCCCAACCCGTACCCAAAAAGAGTCCAAAACACCCCCAAAAAAGAAGTTCCAAGACCAAAAGAAAAAGGAAAAGAAAAATCGTCATCGTAGAAATAAAAATTAAAAATTAAAAACTAAGAAAATATCATCCCTCATCCATCGTCACTCATTGATCACATCACATTACTTATGCCACTTCTTCCCCTTCCCCGCCACCTTCCCACTTCCATTTAGCTGCTGATTCTGCTGATGCGCCTTCGCCCGACTCCCCGAGGCTACTCCCTCGCGCCTATGCCACGGATCCTGCGGCCACACCCACCCGCGCACCCTCTTTGCATCGCGCTTCTCCCCCGTCTGCGGCTCGGGGATCCATTTGTCTTTCCCTTCCGGCAGGATGTGTTGGCGCGTGAGGGTGCCCTGGCCGCTGACGTTGAGGTCGCGGGGTTGGGTGGGGAGGGCCTCGGCCTTGGAGAGGAGAACCAGGTAGTAAAGGGCCAGGGTTGCGGTGAGTGGGGTTGAGGTTGATGATTGTGGTGTGAAGGAGGAAGGTGGGGAGGGAGAGCGGGAGGGGGTGGGGGAATAGTCGGATGATTGGGCGGAGGAGGATCGGTGGGAGCGAGAGTGGGAGTGGTGTCGTGGTTGGTGTTGCGGGGGTGGGGAATAAGACTCCGACGAGAGGTTCGTCATTATTGGTGGGGCCACCTGCAGGTAGCCGAAGTAGGGCGTGTCGGTGACATCGTCGTAGCCTGCACGGACGCAGACGAGTTCGATCTCCGTCATGATGAAGCCGTAACGGCAGGAGTGCTCGCGCATGCAGCGTTGGAGGTGCGCAAGGCCGTTGAGGTATTCGACGCGCTTGTGCGGTGGTTCCTGGCGCATGCCGCTGTTCCAGCAGTTGAAGCTCTTGATGAGGCCGACGAGGCGGCCGCGCTGGCTGCCGGAAGCTGTGAGTTCGGTATCTGTGGCATAGTTGGCGATGAAGTGGGGCCCGCTGTTGGTGCGGTTTCCTGTGAGAAAGGCCTCCGTTGTTGGTTTGAGGATCAGCCCCTTGCCGATGGAGGTTTGGATAGCGGCGTTTACACGGGGAGCGTAGATGTCGCGGACTAGCTCTGCGAGAGCCCCTTCAGAGCTCGGGGAGAGACGCGATGAGGTCACAGTTGATATGGGATGGCAGTCTTGGGAGACTTGCGTGGTGAGGAGAGCGGTAAGTTTTGGGATTGAGTGGATTGTGGAAAGAGAGAAGCTGGACCAGCTTCGCAGATTTCGGATGTCCCACCAAAAGTGCTGCTGCTGCCCACGGCCCACGGGCACTCTTACATGCT